CACACACACTCACACACACACACACACTCACACACACGCTTGCTCGCCTGCATTAAGGGCTAGGTTCAGTAATGGTGCAGGTCCTGTAATGCTGCTTTGCTGTGTGTGTGTGTGTGTGTGTGTGTGGCTGCTGGACACTCCATGGTGGACATTTAATGTTGTAATATGATGATTATTACATGTCAGTACATTATAATAACATTATATTGCACAGTAAACAGTATTTGAATATCTGTAACTCCAGCACACACACACACACACACACTGTACAGCAGACGGCCATGGTGAGTGTGTGTGTGTGTGTGTGTGAGGAGTTTAGAGATACTGGGGTCCTCAGGCTGCTCACCCCTCACACTACACTATGATGTGTTAATAGGGCACCATGGTAATGGGAGGAGCTGAGTGAGGGGGAGGGGCCAGATATGTTAATATCAGTAATATGTTAATGACCTACTGTTATTGATTCAGTCTGAGCCTCTGAAGATCAATAAACGATCAGGGGGACAAACACCAGTGTGTGTGTGTGTGTGTGTGTGTGTGTGAACGCTGACCGAGACTGAAGCTGATCCAAGCCCAGTGTTTGTGTGCTTACAGACTGTAAAATGGCAGATGGTCATCTAACCCCCCCCCCAGCGCACACACACACACACACCTGTGGTTGTTCAGCTGCAGTTGTTCAGTGTGACTGTAGGCTGTTTGTGAACTGCTGATGCACGTTTGTGTGTGTGTCAGTAATAACTGAAACTGCAGTGCTGATCATAATGACACACAGTAAACACACACACACACACACACACACACACACACACACTCAGACTGACAGTAGATGGAAATGTGTAGCGAACAGAAGCCCGCCGCGCTGGCCGACACCGCCATCTAGTGGCAGAAATTGAGTGCGTATGTGTGTATGTGTGTGTGTTTGATCTGTGTCCCGGACTGACCACATGGATGCGACACTGCTAATGAACACTGAGCATGATGAGCACACATCAGCTCCACTGCTGGACACAGCGTCACTCACCGCTGCTCATCTGGTGTGAGTTCAGACTTGATCAGTGTTATAACAGCAGAAGACGGGAGCCAGCGTGATCTGACGCACAGGAGGTGACCGACGCTTACTCTGACTGCTGAGATCAGGTTTCAGTAAGGAGTTTTAACCAACTCTGAGCTGATTCACCGACAGATTAGTTTTGGCAGAGTTTTGGGTTTGAGGGCAGCGGATCTGAGTTGGGTCAATCAGAAGAGCAGCTCAGAGTAAAGCAATATAAAGGCATCATCAATGGAGCGCAGATGATACACGAGTGACCGATTCTGTCTCCAGCAGAACTTGATCTGCTCATGCAGAGTAATTACAGCAAAGAAGAGCAGATATTTAATACAGCAGCACACCTGCATCAGTGAAACAGACACTTAATGTGGGAAAACAGCTCCAGTTAATGCGCTACTTTACATTTAAAGTATTTACATCTGTAACTATAATAATTAATGTTATGTGTGACGTTTATACATTTTTATAAAGATATACACGTTGATCAGTTTTAATGGATGTAAACGTGCTCTTGTGTCTGCCTCTATTATTGATTGAGTGATAGAGGCTGATATGACATTAATAATGTGAGCTGAACTAATCAATAGTTTAGAGAATAATAATGTCAGATAATACTCGTCACAGCACATGTCCCCGTCGAAGATCAGTGAATTTAAGATTATTATCTATTAAAATAGACAAGCCATTCTCATACATGACCAGGCCATCTTCACACAGTGACTGACTCTGAGCTAGAGTGACCTCGCTTTCAGGAACAGGCTGGACTTACCCTGCCTTCTCCAGTCTCACAAACCTGCCATTCCGAGACAGAAAACCTGTGCTGCAACACAGAGGAGATCTCCAGTGAGCGGCAGTTCTGTGGACACAAATGCCTTGTTGATGGTCAGAGGTCAGAGGAGAATGGCCAGACTGGCTCCAGCTGATAGAAAGGCAACAGTAACTCAAATAAGCACTCGTTACAACCGAGCTCTGCAGAAGAGCATCTCTGAACACACAACACGGCCAACCTTGAGGCGGATGGGCTACAGCAGCAGAAGAGCACACCGGGTGCCGCTCCTGTCAGCTAAGAACAGGAAACTGAGGCTACAATTCACACAGACTCACCAAAACTGGACAATAGAAGATTGGAGAAACGTTGCTGCTCTGATGAGTCTCCATTTCTGCTCACTCATTCAGATGCTCGGCTCAGACATCATGAAAGCATGGATCATCCTGCCTTGTATCAGCGGTTCAGGCTGGTGGTGGTGGTGTAATGGTGTGGGGGAGATTTTCTTTGGGTCCATTAGTACCAATTGAGCATCAACGCCACAGCCTACCTGAGTATTGCTGCTGACCATGTCCATCCCTTTATGAGCACAGTGTCTCCATCTTCTGATGGCTACTTCCAGCAGGATAACGCAGCATGTCATAAAGCTCAATCATCTCAGACTGGTGTCTTGAACATGACGATGAGTTCACTGTACTCAAATGGCCTCCACAGTCACCAGAGCTCAATCCAATAGAGCAGCTTTGGGATGTGGTGGAACGGGAGATTGGCATCATGGATGTGCAGCCGACAAATCTGCAGCAACTGTGTGATGCTATCATGACAATATGGAGCAAAATCTCTGAGGAATATTTCCAGTAGCTTGCTGAATCTCTGCCATGGAGGATTACGGCAGTTCTGAAGGTGAAAGGGGTCCGACCCGGTACTAGTGAGGTGTACCTAATAAAGTGGCCGCTGAGTGTGTGAAACTAAACCCAGATCTGATCTCCTGTAATCAGGAAAGGAGCAGGCGCTGAGGGTGATTGCAGGACCAAATTTAATCTGAAAATGGTAAAAAATATCAATTTTTATACAAACGAGCGAGACGAGCCAGTAGGAAAGTGTACAAAACCCAGAGCAGCGGCTCCACGCCGGCCCGGCCCGCACCTCAGACACCCTGAAGACACACTCCGTCTCTGATCCACACACACACACTTCAGCATTACTGCAGCAAACGCACAGTTTAATACACACACACACACACACACACACACACACACACACACACACACACACACACACACACTCTCTCTCGTCAGCATCACAGGTGTGTGTAGCGCAGGATCAGGGCTCAGAGCAGCAGCGCTAGTGTTCAGTCTAGTCCTGCTAGCCTGCGCAGATGATCTCCCAGCAGCCCCTGCACCGCTCTACGAGCCCAGACGGGGGCGCTTGTGTGGAGCCTGCTGATCTTCATCATCATCCTCATCCTCATCTTCATCATCTGGGTAATCCACCAGCGCCGTCTGAGGAGCACACACACACACACACACACACACACACACACGTCAGCACACAGCAGAGAGAGAGTGTGTGTGTGAGCTTGTGAATGCATGTGCAGGAGTCTGAGTGTGTGCATGCTTGTGTGTATGAGCATGTGTGTGTGTGTGTGTGTGTGTGACCCTGGCTGCAGTGCTGGCTCCGCTGGATGACGCAGATGTAGCTTTAGCGCTGTTAGCAGACGCTGCAGAGTGGGAGAAGGTGAACTTGAAGCTGCCGCTGCTGCT